GTCTGCCCTCTGGTGGATGAGGATAAGAGGCTCGTGCAAGCTTCCCGATGAGAGGGACTGGCTGTGGGGGAAACTGGGTCTTGCTCTGGTAGGCAAGGTCCTGCTCAGTAAACTTGAATCCAATTGTCTGCTGATGGGTGGGGCTGGGCTTCCTCCCTGTCAGTTGTTTGCTGCTGCTGCTGCTGTTAGGTCGCTTCAGTCGTGTCTGACTCTGCGCGACCCCATAGACAGAAGCCCACCAGGCTCCCCCGTCTCTGGGATTCTCCAGGCAAGAACACTGGAGTGGGTTGCCATTTACTTCTTGTTTAGCCTGAGGCAATTCAGTCCTGGGGTCTATAGACTTCTCTAGTAGGGCTATTGATAAACTTCAAGAGGACTTATGCAAAGATGCATCTCCTAGGACTGCTGCCGCCAGTGCCCCCATCCCCGTGGCAGGCTATTGCTGACCCATGCCTCTGCAGAAGACCCTCAAACACTCACAAGTAGGTCTGGCTCACTCTCCTCTGGGGTCACTGCTCCTTTCCCCTGGGTCCTGGTGTGCACAAGATTTTGTTTGTGCCCTCTAAGAGTCTCTGTTTCCCCCAGTTCTATGGAAAATCTGAAATCAAATCCCACTGGCTTTCAAAATCAGATTCCCTGGGGAGTCCCAATCCCTTGGCTGGATCCTCAACCTGGGCAGCCTGATATGGGGGTCTAGAACCTTCACAATACCGTGAGAACTGCTTTGGTATTGTTGTTCTCTGTGAGTTACCCACCCAGTGGGTAATAGGATTTGATTTATTATAATTGTGCTCCTCCTACCATTTTGTTGTGGCTTCTCCTTTGTTCTTGGATGTGGAGTATCTTTTTCTGGTGGGTTCCAGTGTCTTCCTGCCAATGGTTGTTCAACAGCTAGTTGCCTGAAGAAAGTCTTAGATTTGGGGAGGTTCAGGGCATATGTGGGGAGATATTCCCTGCTTGACCTTACCAATCAAGAATCTGCTTTCTTTTTTTCCCGCTGCATGTGTTTTATTTGAACTGACCTACTCTATGTCTTTTAGACTCATTATGACCACATTTTCAAAAGACAAAATGTGTCTGAAAAATGACTTACTCTGTCTTATTACTTTATTAGATAAAAACTTGAAAGGTTTAAAATCAAATCATGTATATTTACTCTTTTCATTTGATACGGGTCCTGAAAATTCAACCCAAAGGACATGGTACTGACATACTCCCTTAGTAGTTATTTACATATTTGTCCTACTCCCATGGGTTTCCCTGGTGGCTCAGATGGTAAAGAATCTGCCTGAAATGTGGGAGATTTGGGTTCAATTCCTGGGTCAGGAAGATCCCCTGGAGAAATGAATGGCTATTCACTACAGTAGTCCTGTCTGGAGAATTCCATGGACAGAGGAGCCTGGTAGGATTCAGTCCATGGTGTTGCAAAAGAGTCAGACACAACTAAGAGAATAACACTTTCACTTTTCCTACTCCCATACTAAAAGATGCTTCCTTGATTTAGACAGACCTCAAGTCCCACACATCCTGTAACTCCCACAGTGCCTAGCATGGTGCTGGCAGTAGATATTCAGTAAATCCTTATTAGATTGATGAAGGCATGAATAGACACTGTCTCAATCCAGTACCAAGACCTTCCTTCTTTCCATCCTCCATCCTTCTTTCCATTCATCTATCCCTCCATCCATCCATCTATCCCTCCCTCCATCCATCAATCCCTCCATCCATCCATTCTCTCAACAACTACAATTTGAGCACCTACCGTGAACCACACATGGCTCCACTTGCCAGAGAACCCATGGGACTCCATGGACTCGACCTGTGATCTTGAGGAGCCACAGTCCAGTCAGGAGGACAGATTCCAAGCAAATCCTTCAATGTCCAACCAGTTACAAATGAGAGTGAGTGCTCTGGGGAGACAGGTGGGTGCCAGGACTTAGCAGGCACATGTCGGCTTTAGATGGGGTGAGGCTGGTCTGGGAAGACTGTAGTAGGAGCTCAGAGGGAGCATGATGAGGGTCCGGCAGGTTTGAGCTCAGAGCCCTCCAGGGGCTGACAGGGAGGCAGGGGCAGGGGCAGCAGGGCCGAGCCTTGCAGGGTGAGCAGGTGAGGCTGTATCATAAGTGCAGCAGGAAGCCTTTGTTGGGCGGCAGGTAGTTCAAGGACAGGATGTTATCTGATTTTCATTCTAAGAGGACAGCAGCTGAGGCTAAAGGCTTGGCAGTGGTACTTGGGGGACGGAATAATGGCCAGATGAGCAGAACAAGGGAGATGGAGGGCTGAGGAGGTGGGTCAGAGCGAGAGCTTCAGGACTGTGAGTCCTTGGGTAGTTAGGGTTGGAGGTGGGGGTGTTTGGGAAAGAGATACAGGAGGAGCAGAGGGCTGGGGCCTGGGGCTGTCTCAGGAACCCATTTCTGGTCTGTACCAACTAGAGGAAGGGGAGGAATCCGTTGAGTTAAGCTTCCTTCTCTGTATCTGGAGGTTAAGTGGGATGAAGGGTTCTGGGGGGCTGGAGGGCAGGGTTTAAGCCTCCACCCTGCTGTGTGACCTAAGGCTGACACCTGCCCCTCTCTGGGCCCGGGCTCATCATCTCTACAGGGAGAGGACAGACCTGAGAGTCTCCAAGAGCCCTTGTGGGTCATTCTCTTGGCTGTCTCTTTCCTGGTTCCCCTCATGCTGCCTGCCTGGAATTGACGGGTCCTGCTTGCTTCCCCATCTTGTCCTGTGGGCACCTGGAGCTCCCAAGGAGGAAGAGGCCACTGTCCACTTCGGGCCGCCCTCCTTGCTTTCATCTTACCTTCCTGCTCTGGTGTGGAGGCTGGGAAGAGGCACACATCGCCCTCTAGTGGCAACTTCTGGGCTCATAATTTGTGGGTTTTTAAAAATTTATTATTTGCAGGATGCCGGATCTTAGTTGAGGCAGGAGGGATCTTCCTTGTGTCATGCCAGATCTTTCCCTGTGACCCTTGGACTCTCTAGTTGCTGCATGCAGGCTTAGTTTTTCTGCAGCCTTGTTCAGTGTTGTTCAGTTGCTAAGTCAAGTTCAACTCTTGGCAATCCCATGGACTACAGCACATCAGTCTTCCCCGTCCTTCACCATCTCCTGGAGCTTGCTCAAACTCATGTCCACTGAGTTGGTAATGTCATCCAGCCATCTCATCCTCTGTCATCCCCTTCTCCTCCTGCCTTCAATCTTTCCCAGCATCAGGGTCTTTTCTAATGAGTCAGCTCTTCACATCAGGTGGCCAAAGTACTGGAGCTTCCAGCTTCAGCATCAGTTCTTCCAATGAATATTCAGGATTGATTTCCTTTATGATTGACTGGTTGGATCTCTTTGCAGTCCAAGGGACTCCCAAGAGTCTTCTCCAACCAGGGAAGCCCTTAAAGCAATTATTGAGCACCCTTTGTGTGCAAAGTACTGAGGCTATGCTCTGTACTATAGGGGATTGGAGGATCCAAACAGACAACCAGCCTGGTCAGGAAGCATTGCTCTAGGGAGACATTGGGCTGGGCAAGGAGGAGCAACTAGGTACCTTTCTGGGCCCAGGTCCACACTCAGGCCAGATGCACTCTGGTGGGCCAGTGCAGCTTAGGAGGGGAAGCTGTGGGCCTTGCTTCTGGGACAGGGTCTGGGTGGGACAGAATGATGGGAGGGAACGGGCCTCTTGGCACAACCCTGGGGTGGAATTCCAGCTCTACCTCTTCTGTGACCTTGGGTGGGCTCATGGCTTAAAACCCTGGTCTCCTCATCTGAGTAATAAGACCATACATGCTCCCAGCCCCTGCTGCTGGCAGATTAGATGAGCTGGTGCAAGTGAAACCCTGGCACAGCGTGAGGGCTTAGTCCCCATTCCCCCACCCAAATCCTTACTCAAGAATTACTATGAGGTTTTGTTACAAGATGATCAGCACAGTTTACTGGACTCTAGGCAGTGTGCCTTGGCTCAGATTCCACAGCTGCCTCTTTTCAGCTGTGTGATCTTGGGTAATTTGCTTCACCTCTCTGCCCCTCAATTTCTCTTCTGAAAATGGGAATAATGAGTGTATCTCCAGTAGATACCCTGATCGCCATGGTTAAAAGTTTGAAATAGAGCCTGGCATAGAGGAACTGTAACAGGAGGGGAAGGGGCAGGGCACAACTTTTGAAAGAATGACTGAGCCCAAGGACACAACATAAGCACATTTGATTTAGAATCAAATGGGTCCAAGAGAGCAGACAAGTGGACTTTGATTAGACCTTGATCCTCAGTCAGCAAGCTTAATGACATAAGAGACCCGGACAGTTCCAAGGCACTGTCAAAAGAGCAAGGAGTGCTGGTGGCCCAATTCCTGGAAATCTCCACCCTTTCCCAAAACTAGCTGGAATAATCCTCCCTCTCATTAGCATATGAAATTACCCAGCCTATAAAAACTAACCAGGCCACATTTCACTGCCACTTTACAGCGGCCCATATCCTGTCTGTGGAGTGTTTCTCTCTGAGTCTGAATAAATCCACTTCATACCTATCACTTTGCCTCTCACTGAATCCTTTCTGTGATGAGACACAAATAACCTGAGCCTCAGTAAGTCCAGACATCAGGTGAGTGATTCTGATTAAAAGATTGTGGGTTCAAGTCCCAACCTGGGATTTGGCTGGGTTCCAGTCCTGGCCATGTGGGTTCAAGTCCTAACGTGAGGTTAATGGTTTCAAAGCATCTTGACAAATAGTTTTGGTGTGGGTGAGTGAGCAGCCAGGTAGAGAGGTTGTGTTCAGTCACTCAGCCGTGGCCAACTACTTGCAACCCAANCTTTCAGCAATGACAACATGGGTCCCTGAATCTTGAAAGGAAAGGAAAGAGCATGTGTGGGGCAGTGGGAACTGCAGGTGCAAAATCCCTGAGGCTGGCATGGCGGGGAGCCGATGGGTGCACCTCAGGAGGACAGAGCCCAGCCTGTCTCCTGGGTGGGGGAGGAGGTGGCTGGGTGCTCACTCACACTCTCTCCCCTTCTTCCTCCATCCAGGGCTCCCTTCCCCAGCCCCCACCCGTGGATGTGATGGCGGCTCCGGCTCTGCCCTGCTGCCTGTCCCTCCTCATCCTCCTCTTGCCCCTGGCCATCCCTCAGGCATCTACATCAGTGAACGGTGAGGACCCTGGCATCTGGAGAGCTGGGCTTTCCTCAGGAGGGAGGCCGAGGCCTTTCTAGAACTTGTTCTGAGACCCCTGATTCTTGGCAGAGGCTCCATCAGCAGGGGCAGGAGGTGGGGGAGGGGGCCAGTGGGACCAGAGATCAGGTATCTACCTTCTCCCTCCACCATCCTGTCTACACTGTACCCACAGGCCTCTCCAAATCCCAGGAAGACAATGTCTTCTTGTCCTTGCACTGCCTCGACCAGTCTGGGAATCTTTGCAGGCTGTGGGACCCAGTTTTGTCTTCTCTGAAGTGGACCCACTAAATCTTTCTCTGCCCACCAGGACTGAGCATCTCCTCACCTGATAGAGACAGGAGTGGCGGGCGAACCCTTGAAGGCCATGGGTGCCCTACAGCCAGCCCCACAAGCCACATTTTCACGGCATTTGCTTCCAACATCACATGCTTCTACAACTCAAGAGCCAACGTCTCCTGCATCTGGAGCCATGATGAGGGCCTGCAGGCCACCACCTGCTGCTTGCACAGCCATCAGCCTAAGAGGTGCGTGTGGGGTTGATGGCCAAATGTACACAATTGCAGGGTGCTGAGATCTTGTCATCCTGACTTTTAGACTCTTGAAATCCTACTAACAGCTCTGAGACTCCAAGAATTCTGCACTTTGAGAATTTTGGCCTAAAAAGACCCACAGGCTGCTGGTGTCACAAGACTACGGAAGAATTGGGGGTCAGATATTTAGACTCCTGGAACCTGAGTAGCAGTAGCGATCCAGGCTGCAGTGGCAGGCCTGGGCATGAGCCAGACTAGATAGTTTGAGGACACTGGGCTGCTTGCCTGATACGCCAAGGATGGACTCAATGTTAGAGGCAAGGAGGACTGAATGGGGTTCCCCAAAGTTTTTGAGTAACCTGGGATTTTGTGAGATGCCTAGGACAGCTGTGGGGACAGGGGACTGGGGAGACCCACCAGCTGGGAAGGAATCCATGAAGGGGCACTGATCCAAACATCCTGCTGGTAGCAGCCAGCAGGGCAGCTCTGACCTTGGCTCCCAGGTGAGTGGTGATTCTAAGGGTCTCTGGAGGGCCCACCAAGGATCGTCCACACCCTCAGCCCTGTGGGGAGAATTTGGAAGGCTTTAGGTGGGAAGGGCCATGTGCCCTGAACGGATTTGTTTCTGGATCACTTTCACTGCCCTGGGGCTTGACTGGGAGGGACAGATGCTCACAAAGGGAAGCAGGGCAGGTGGGGTTGGTATAAAGCCTGGGCTCAGATCAGTAATGCTGCAAGGCGACCCTCCTGAGGCCAGCTCTGAGGGGGCCCCTCTTTTTCTTCAAAGAGAGGAGCTTTTTCCTACAAAACAGTGGAAACACACCTGTGAGCTGCAACCAGTGAAGCCGGGATCCTGGGCATGCAATCTGGTTCTAGGACAATCTCCAGAAGTGAGTAGCCAGAACTGAGGGGGTGGCCAGTGGGGCTGGTGGGTGCAGAGGAGCATCTTTCTGGTGGAGGTGCCAGCACAGGGGCTGCGGCAGAGTGGGCTTCCTGGGCTGGGGAGGCAGGAGGAAGAAGGCAGCATCCACGAGGGCAGATGACTGACCCACGGGTGGAGGGATCCGGGGTTATTGAGATGTCGGCTGCTCAGCTCTGCTCCTGCCTGTCTGCTTTTATAAATTAAGTTTTATTGGCACACAGCCACACCCATTTGCTCTCTTGTTTTTTTATGGCTGCTTTTGCAGGACAGCCACAATGGCAATGTTGAATAGTTGTGACAGAGATCATATGACCTGTAGCATCAAAAATATTAACTATCTGACCCTTTTCATAAAGTTTGCTGAGCCGTGCCTTAGATGGAGGATGTCAGGGAGGAGGTCCAGCTTATTACAGCCATGGTTTCCCCTGCCATCCACATCTCAGCAGCCTCTCCATCCTCACACCAGCTACTGGAAGTTTTATCCCCAGTCTCCTTCCCTTTCAGGCTCAGAAACTGACCGTAGTGGACGTTATGAAACTGACGGTGATGTGCTCTGAAGGCGGGAAGTGGAGGAAGATGATGACCCAGGATATCAAGCCCTTTGATTACAGTGAGTGAGGACTCCAGGGTGGAGTTGGCGTCGGGTGGGCAGCCACCTTCCTCCCTGTCTCCCTCTCTAGTCTCTACTCTCTCCCCATCAACTTCCATATCCCCATCTGAGCAACTCACTGCCCGCTGAACTTGGGATGAAGTCCCGGACACTTACCCTGGTGTTCAAGGCCATTGGGCCTGGCTTCCTTCTCCAGAATGCCTCCTCTTGCGGCTAATATTCCTGCCACACCAAGAGCCAGCTCTCCAGGCTCAGCTTGCCCTTCCATACCTCTAAATACTTGCACACCATGGACCCACTGCTTGAAAGGCTCTTGTCACCCCAAAAATTGTCACTCATGCTTCAAGTTCAGTGAGGAGTCACCTCCTCCAGGAGGCCTTCCCAGACTCCTGGAGCCCTTGGTACCTCCTCTTTCAGGGTGTTTATGTCCTGGTTCTTTGCTGCCTGATAATGGGTCTGTCTCCCTCATTGGGCTGTGAAATTCCCTGAGGGCAGAGCTTCTGCCATCCTTACATCTCTGTTCTGAATACTCAGCATAAGGGCTGATCTGGAAGTGACTGTAATCTGAATGGCAGGTCATTTAACATGCCTGAGCCTCAGTTTCCTCATCTGTAAAGTGGGGATAACCTGTTACCTGCTGCCTACAGTTGGGGCTTCTGTGGTGGCTCAGTGGTAAGGAATCCACCTGCAATGCAGCAGACGTGGGTTAGATTCCTGGATCGGGAAGATCCCCTGGAAAAGGAAATGGCAATTCCAAGTATTCTTGCCTGGGACATTCCACTGACAGAGGACCTGGTGGGCTACAGTCCATGGGATCACAAAGAGTTAGACATGACTTAGCAACTAAACAACAGTGACAATAACATGGTTGCTTAGGAGCCTATGAGCCAAGACACAGAAATATCTCAATAAACATTTGCTTATTATTATTTGTGGAGTTCTACAGAATCTCAGAAGTATAAAAATTTAGATCAATTGAACTTCAGAATCATACAAACTTATAATCATCCAAGATTGCTGAAGTTAATTAAATAAAATAAATGAGATGATCCAGGTAAATCTCTGATCAAATCTGAGTGCAGAGAAAGGCTGCCTTGATTCTTTCATTCTGCAGATAATCTAATCAATTGCCCACCACGTACGGCCAGGTAACATTCAAGGCACCAAGGATACTCCAGAGATCAAGTCCTTGCCCTCAGAGAGCTCAGTCTAGTGGGGCAGACAGAAAACGAATAAAGAATCAGATATTTAATATGTCAGATGACGATAAGTACTAGGTAGAAAAATGAAACAAGCGAGGGGGACAGAGAGTGGTGGATATTTGGAGCAGGCTTCTCTGAATGGGTGATATTTGAGCAGGAACCTGCCGATCCCTGGGAGAGGAGAACATCGGGAGGGAGGGACAGCAGGTACAAAGGTGGAGGTGGGAGCTCGGCTCGGCTTTCTCATCTCAGCGTCAGCATGTGGCATCCCTCAAGCTTGTTCTCTCTGCCTTTGTCTCTTTCCTGTCTCCAGTTCGTCTTGTTCCACCCCATTCACTCCAAGTCGCCCACGTAGAGACGCATAGGTGCAACATAACCTGGACCATCTCCCAGGTATCCCACTACATCCAAAATGACGTGGAGTTCGAGGCCCGGACTAGGTCTGCGGGCCACAGCTGGGAGGTGAGTATACCTGGCTCTGTCCCACCTGCCCTAATTCCTCTCTGTCCTCATCACCCTGTCCATCCTTCATCTCAGCAAAGCCACAGAAGCCCCTAATCAACCCCTGCTGCTCCTTGGAACTGCCCCCCAACACCCTCCCTCTGATGTCCCCTGACACCCCAGGGGTCCTGCCAATGGCAGTTTCTAGGCAAGATTTACAAAGCTAAGAGGCAGCAGACTCCCCCTCTGAAGATTTCAGAGGCCCTGGGCAGCCACTGTTCCCTCTTCAAATCCAGTGTGGTCCAAGTGCACGGAGGTTGATCACTTATTCATTCACTTACCCATTCCTTTATTTGCTCATTCACTCAACAAACATTCCCTGAGTACCTACTACATGCTGGATGCTGGGGAGAGAATGGAGGGAGAGTCGGACAAGCTGCCTCTGAGGAAACTCACATGGGGGAGAGGAGCAGACTCTGCAATGTTTTTACATACTCTCATGAAATTTCATTGTGATAACACAGTTGAGAAGGACTGGGCCAGGCTCCTGCAGACTCAAGTGACCAGGCCTTTCTGAGATATGGGCTCAAGTAGAAGCTGATTATTTGAGGATCTGGGGAGGGTCTTCCAGGCAGAGGAAAAAACCATTGCAAAGGCAAAACACGGCCTGTGTGTCTGGTGTGCTGGAAAAAAAGCAAAAAGGGTGACGCCGAGCGGGGAGAGGTCTATGGGAAGCCCCTCTTTCTGGCTGAGTGTAGAAGAGACTGCCGTAGAGCACAGGGGTATGGGGCGCAGGGAAGGAGGGAGACCTTGGATGGGGCTCAGAGGTCGTGGGAGCTCAGACCTGCAGGAGGAAGGAGTGGAGGGAAGAGAGAAGGGTCCAGAATAGGTTCTGGAGGTGGAACCAGCTGATTGACAGATGGCTTTGGATACTGGAGTTGAGTGAGGAGGAGGGGTTCAGGAAGACCCTGATTCTTGGGGCTCCTGCAAAGTGGTTAGTTGGGGAGCCTTTCTGTAAGAGGTGGGGGACAGTGCAGGGTGCATGGCTAAAGGGGTAAAGGAAGGCACTGCTCTGCTCATATGCTCAGCCAGCCCTGCCACAGAAAGTGAGGGGGCAGTGCAGACCCCTCTGGTCTGACAGCCCTATCTCTGCCCCAGGACACCCCACTGCTGACCCTCAGGCAGAACCAGCAATGGATCTACCTGGAGAATCTCGCTCCAGGCATGGAATATGAGCTTCAGGTGCGGGCCAAGCCCCAGCTAGGCAGGCATGAGGTTTGGAGCCACTGGAGCCAGCCCCTGACCTTCAGGACGGTCCCTGCAGGTACTGATGGGGAGCTGAGGTGGGGATGCAGCCTAGGTAATGGGGAGGGACTGGTGGGGCAGCTTTGGGGTATATTCACAGCACCCTTCGACCATCTTTAGCTCACTGGATGTGACCTGCAGGGTGAGAAATGTGGGCAAATTTTGCAGATGGGAACAGGGATTCGGTGAAAGGGTGGGACTTCTCAGAGGCCTTGTGAGTTAGTGAGGAGGCCAGTGAGGCTCTTTCTTCTTTCTCCACCCTTTAACCTCAAGCTTTTGGTTTCTGCCAAGGTCTGGGGTGGGCTGTTTTCACCTGTTAGCCTATTTCTTCACCTGTGAAGTGGGTACCATGGTACCACGGCAGGGCTGCTGTGATGAAGTCATACAATGCCCCATGTCGGCTGAGCACACAGCAGGTCTGCTGGGTCACCTGGGACCTTATAAAGGCCTTGGGTCATCCCTCAGCACCACATTATGGGTGGGGGATGCTGGAGTGACTGGGGGTGGGGCACACTTCTTTAACCCCTCTCCTCCTCTTCCTACCCTCTGGGCAGAAACCAGGAAGAAAATCCCACCTCTCCCTTGGTTGGGCCACATCATCTTGGGCGTTGGCAGTTTCGTCGGTCTTGTCCTCTTGGTTTACTTTCTGGGCAACTTCCGGTGCATCAGGCTATGGTAAGAAGAATGCTCCCCTCCCCGGCTTCCATGTCTCGGTCTGACATCTCCCATGGCCAGGTCAGCTTCTGGGCTGAGCCCCGTATTCTGACAGTCCAGTGCCTCCTCTGCCATCCCAAGGGCCCTACCTGCCTAACATCTGGCCTTTTCCCCAAAAAAGGGAGGCCCAAGGGACCAGCCCGAGAGGAGAGGAGTAGGGAGAAGCCCATGGGAGCCCTGCCCAGAGCATTAGGGTCAGGACTTGAGTATGTACATGTATATGAGCCAGCTGCTTTGTGTTGGGGGCTGGGGTGTCGTTATGGGTCTGACCATTCATTTGTTCTTTCCTTCATTTGCCGAGTCCCAGCTCAGAACCAGGTATGGTGCTGAGCGCTGGGAATGTAAGCAAAGCCACAGGCATGTCATCGCATTTTCAGGGACTCACCATCCCATGGGGGATGGCAGATATTTATCATGCAGGTTTATAATGACATGAGATTAGGGTGGTGAAGGAAGGTGCTAGATGTACTAGAAGTAGACAATAGGAAGGGGAGCCTCAGCTAAGAGGTGACCAGGGGATGCATCCCCGAGGCGGCGATGATGGCATTGAAATCTGGAGGAGGAGCAAATCAGGCAGGGAAGGGTCAGGAGCTTGTCCATCCCAAGCAGAGGAAAAGCTTGTGCAAAGACCTTGGGTGGGAACAAGGGAGAAGCATTCCAGGAACAGAGAGTATAGGAAAGTGGGTGTGGTCAGAGACCAGAAGGAAGTTTGGGACCTGAGCCTGGACTTCTGGGCAGCAGCCAGGTTTCCTGGAGTCTTGAGGCATACATCTTGAAGTGGATGCACACAGACACTGGGGCACTCAGCTTGGCAAGCAGTGCATGGGCTGGGATTCAGCTTCTCATCACCATCGGTCCTCCCCCTTAAAAAAAACACATAAAACCCAGGCGCCCTTGGGCAGTGCACAACTTGAACCACGGTCTATGGCAGCCTTGACGAGGAGGCCCACAGTCTGGCCTCTCTCTTACCTTCCTCCTCTTGGTTCACTCTGCTCTGGTCTTCTTCATGGTCTCCCACCCCCACATCCTTCTGCTCTCTCCACAGAACAAATGGTATACTTGCATACTTGGGTCATTAACTGGCTCCCCATTAGAACGCCAGCTCCTTTAGAGCAGGGACCTCCTCTGTTGATTCTTCTTGTGTTCCCAGTGCCCAGCACAATACTCTCCCTTACTGGGCATGCAATCAACATCAACAGAATAAACGAACGTGTGTGGTGAGGCTCTGTGCCCTGCACTCAGACCTGCGGGGCTGATGGCAGGACTCTGTGGGCCCCCTTCCCTTCTCACCCTTCTTCCCTCCCTCCTCTCCCCTCTGCAGGCTGAAGAAGGTTCTGAAGTGTCACATCCCAGACCCCTCGGAGTTTTTTTCCCAGCTGAGCTCTGAGCATGGAGGAGATTTCCAGGTAGGAGTCTGGAGGAGGAGGACAGAGCAGGCAGTCGACACGGGCTGGCCAGAGGGTGGGCTGGGGTGTGGACAGGGTGGGAAGGAGGTGGAGAACAGCAGGTTTTGCACTTTGGGTGAAGAAATGTAAAGTCAGCTGCCTCTAGGTGTGTGTGTGTGTGAACAGTCGTGTAGGACTCTTTGCAACCCCATGGACTGTAGCCGGCCTGGCTTCTCCATCCATGGGATTCTCCAGGCAAGAATACTGGAGTGGGTGGCCATGGACTCCTCCAGGGGATCTTCCTGACCCAGGGATCAAACCCAAGTCTCTTGCATCTCCTGCACTGGCAGGCAGATTCTTTAGCAACTTCACCACCTGGGACGCCCTGGACCCCTCTCCCCAGTTCTGGTACCCGTGTTCTCAGGCTGAATGGCAGCGTCCATCTGAGTGAGCCAGCCTACCTGGGCTCTAACTCTGGCTCCACCACTTCCTGGCTGTGTGGCTTGGGGCAAGTTATAGAACCTCTCTGTGTCTCAAGTTTCCTCACCTGTAAAATGGGTGGTGGGGTAAGGTGAGATAATAGTAGTATGATTACGATCCCAAGGACATAGCCCAGCATACAGCTAATGCTCACAAAACCCTCACTGGAATTACCCACACTGGGCTGTTGTTGGAACAGGATTCACCAGGTTCAAGTTCTCACCCCACTCTCGTGCAGATCTGCTCTGAGGGGCTAGTGCTTTCCCTGCTTTCGAAAAATTCCCCCAGCCAGCCTCCATGACTTATCACAAGTGCTAGCAAGACCTCTAGGCATTTCTAGTTACAAAACAGATTCATTTTAAAAGTGCACCCCTGTATGTCGGAATGCTCTGAATGCCATGCAGAGTTCAGCCGTCTCCCTCAGCCCACACATGCTTCAGGAAGGAAGCTTCCGGGAGGGAGGGGGGTGTGGTGGGCCACTTCTACCACCCCACCCCATACTCTAGGCTCACTAGATTCGTGTTGGTGGAGGGGGTGAGGTGGGAGTGGACAGAGGTCAAGAGAAATGCCCAGAGGCTGGGAAGCCATGCTGGAGCAGGCCTGTCACAAGCTGGCTTTGGCGTTCTCTAATGGGGCTGATCAGGGCCCCTTCTGGAAGTCTCTGGAAAACTCTCAGGACTGGGCACATCTTGCCTGCAGTGCTCCTTATGTGAGAAATGTATCTCCTTAAAACTCTTCCTTTAGCCTGAAAATTAGTGATCTCCCCACCAACAAAGGTATTCAAGTCAGCCTTGGCTGACTGTGTGTTGGTCACATGGTAGAAGGGATACCGAGTGAGAAGCTGGACTAGATGCAGCCTCAGACCTCTTCCAGCTTGAGGTCCTTCTGAGTCTATGGGCTTGGGACATTTTGAGGCAGGACTGGGGTCCTTTCTAGAGAGCTGCATCTTCCCATGAGATCAACCCTAGGTCGAAATGCCTAGCCCAGGTCTGTCATGTGTGGTGGGGGGTATCCCGAAAAGGCCCTAGGGATGCAGATGTGACTAGGGGCGACAGATGGCCGAGAGGGACCCCACCCTCTCCTCTGCATCTGGGTGACAGGCCAGCTCCTCTCTCTCTCTGCCCCAGAACCCCGAGCTCCAAGACCCCAGGGCCCACTGCCCTGTTCGTGGGACCCAGGAGTGCGTGTGCCAGTGTGTGTGACAAGGATGAATTTCTTCCTGTGCCGCACCACAATCCCCCCTCCCCCGCCCACGTCCACTTCAAGGCATTGTGGATGGAGGCCCAGGCCCCGGAAGTGGCTGACCACACAGCTCTGAGGCCTAGCACACCAGTGCAGGCCACAGAGCTGCCCTTTCCTTCTGGCCGCTGCTCAGCACTGCTGCCTGACCCTGCCTTCTGCTTCCTCTTCGAGTGTTGGAGCCCCATCCGGCCTGGCTCTTGCCCTCTCTCCCGCCTCTGTCCTTCGCCATCCTTAGTTGGCCCTCACTGTCCTTCTCTCTCGGCCTTTTCTCCTGTAACATGAACACCTGGTTTGGGGAAGGGGGTAGATGTTGTCGAGTGGTCCAGTCATTAATTCACCTGCAACATATCGACTGGGCCTCTTGATCCCCATGCTGGGCACAAGGGTGCAGAGGGGACCCGTCACACCTGGTCCCTGCACTCAGGGGACCACAGTCCAGCTGCATAGGACTCCCAGGACAGAAGGCTGTTGGGGTTCTCAAGTGCAACCTCCTGAAGCCCCATCTCCCTGTCCTCAGGGGTGTACTGTCCCCTACGCCTCTGCTGGGCATGTGCATTTAACTTGTGCCAAGTGTTTCCATCTTCATTTTCTTCTTTAACATCTCTCTGCTGGGCCATAGTGAGGCAGTCAGGAAAGAGGCAGCTAACTATTACAGAACTGAGGCTCAAGAGGTGCAGTCACCTGCCCAGGATCACACAACTAGTGAGTGCCAGGGCCAGGGCTGGAAGAGTCCTTGCCAGGGCTCTCCAGACTCCAGAGCAATTGAGAAGTGCTTGCCTCTGATGGGTGATTGCCTCTCTCAGTGGGTGGAAGGTGTGGGAGGCAGGGGGCTGGACCATTAGCTCCCAGCTGGAGATGGTTCCATGGCAGTGTGAGTGGGGAACCTGAGGCCCAGCTTTTCTACCTGCTGTGTGATCAGCGCCAGGACATAGGCACTCTCTGGGAATCCGTATGGTGGTCGTGATGTACTCTCAGGGCTCTTCCTGCTTCGGCAGTGGTTGATTGGTTGGTTCACACACCCACACTGGTCCCCACCAGTCAGTCTGAGGATTCCATCCATCGCTATGTCCCCGGGACCTGGAGCAGCACTAGGTTCTCAATACTAGCCACTCAATAAGCAGTCAGGCATTGACCCAACACATCCCCTGGGCCCCTAGTGAGCCAGAAAGACCTGTGCTGAGGCTGGGAAGCAGGTACCCCCACTGATGTGGAACATTCCCCCAACCAGTAGGCAGAGTTTGTGTGTGTGTGCATGTGTGTGTTTGGGAGGTAGGGCAGCGGGGGGCGGGGGTGGTGGTGTGTGTGTGTGGGGGGGGTTGCAGTCAGGGAGGGCATCCCAGAGGGGGCAGCCCTGAGGCTACTGCTAAAGAAGGAGGAGTTAGGAGTTATTGCTGAGTTTAGAAGAGACAGCCCCCTCACCCTCCCACTGTCCTTTCTCTTCACAGAAGTGGCTCTCCTCACCCTTCCCCTCGTCCTCCTTCAGCCCCAGTGGTCTGACCCCCGAGATCTCCCCACTGGAGGTGCTGGACAGAGATGCCAAGGCCACACAGATGCTCCTGCTTCAGCAGGACAAGAGCTCACCATCCTCAGCTGAGACCAGCGGCCACTCGGTGACCAGCTGCTTCACCAACCAAGGCTACTTCTTCTTCCGCCTCCCGGACGCCCTGGAGATTGAGGCCTGCCAGGTCTACTTCGCTTATGACCCCTGCACCGAGGAACTTGATGCGGGTGGGCCCAGGGCCCCCGAGGGAGCTCTCCTTCCACCCCTGCCGACTCTACCAGGGGATGACGATGCTTACTGCACCTTCCCCCCCGGGGAAGACCTGCTGCTCTTCTCTCCGAGTCTCCTCAGTGGCCCAGGCCCCCCGAACACTGCCCAGCGGGGCACTGGGGCTGGTGAAGAGAGGCTGGCAGCCAGCCCACAGGAGGGAGTCCCTGGAGACTGGACCCCCCAGTCCCTGGGGCCTCCTGCTCTGGAAACCCCTGACCTGGTGGATCTGCAGTCACACCCAGAGCATGAGCTGGGAGAAGCAAGAGAGAAGGTGCCTGACCCCCGTCCAAGGGAGGGGACCAGCTTCCCCTGGGTCAGCCCTCCCGGGCAAGGCCAAGTCTGGGCCCCCATTACCTGCCTGACCCTGAACACCGATGCCTACCTGTCCCTCCAAGAGCTCCAGGATCAGGACCCAGCTTACTTGGTGTAGACAGACAGCCGGAGCTGGGAGGCAGGTGGCCATCCACTGCTGCGTCAGGCCTGCTTGAGGACTCTATGTCCGTGAAGCTTGTCCCCTGCTGAGACACTGGGTGTCCAGCAGCCTCTGGACATCTCTGCCCAGAGGGCCTCACCCAGTCCTGCACACTCAGCTGTTCATTTCCAAACCTCAGTTGCTGCTCCCTGCGCCTACACCCCAAGCCAAGAACTTTGGGGGTGGGGTCCTTTGACTCCCCCACTCCCTCATTCATCATGAAGTCCTGTGGGTTTTGCCTCTTCACCCTGGCTTACTCACTGGGCTTCCTGCCCACCCACCCACCACAGGACAATCAGCGGAATCTTTCCAAAACATAAATGGAGCTATGCTGCCCCTCCTGGAGAAGGAAATGGCAATCCACTCCAGTATTCTTGCTTGGAAAATCCCATGGACAGAGGAAGCTGGCGGGCTACAGTCCATGGGATTGCAAAGAGTTGGACACGACAGAGCGAATGAGCATACACATGCTGCTCCTGGTTTAAAATCCTGCCATGGCTCACCACTGCCCTCAGTACAACTTCTTGGCCTACCCATTGGGTCCTCCAGCATCATGTTGGGACATTCCCATCTAGAACCCTCCCAACAGTCCTACTCAAAGACCCTGATGCTGGGAAAGATTGAAGGCAGGAGGAGAAGGAGGCGACAGAGGATGAGATGGTTGGATGGCAGCACTGACTCGATGGACATGAATTTGAGAAAACTCCTGGAGATAGTGAAGGACAGGGAAACCTGGCGTACTGCAGTCCATGGGGTCTCAAGGATTCAGATACGACCAACCAACTGAACAACAGTCCTACAAAGCCACTTGGAACTCCCTCATTTCCCCAAGCCTTTGTGCTTGTGATTTCCTGTTCCTGGGGGGCCCTCTCCTCCCTCACCTTTTGATAACAAACTCCCATTATCCTTCAGGTGGCAGTTCTACTTCCCTTGCAAGGAAACACTGCCTCCTTTCATGCGCCCAAACTCGAGAATCAGTGCTGGAGGGACAGGTTCTCAGGGTCACAGGGTGGCGGGACAAAGTGTCTTTGTCACGTCCTCTTTGGGATCTCTGGTGACCTCGGAATGGTTGCCTACCTGTGGCCCAAGTCTGTGCACAAATGCCCAGCAAAGTGGACCCTGGCTGGATCTTTCCACAACGGCAAGCCGCTGGAAAGTAAACCCCTCCAAGTGGTGGGTCCTGATGCTGTTGCAGGAGCCCTCCCTCGCGCCCCTCCTGCTCCACCCTCCACTGGAGGGGTCTTTTCTGCAGCTCAAAGGCTGGCACACTGCCTCCTGATGGCAGTTCCATTCCCTGCCCTTGACAGAGTGCACTTTACATCCTATCAGAGTCCCTGCGTGAATTAATGAACTATCTGGCATCACCATGCCTGGTCTCCCTGTGCCCTTGCTGCCTTCATTCAGGGGGGATACCATCGACCTCTCAGGGGCACCCCTGGCACTTTGACGTCTCTGAGGTCAAGCCTTAGAGAGGCAGGCCGTCCATGTCCACTAGGTTCCGGCATGCCCGCCCCAGCAAAAGGCTCATCCCCTCACATGGCAGTCCTGCCCCACCACACACGGCGAGCCCCTTCCTTCTCGGTGCTCCCACCACCCATCCACTTCTCGTCCTTCTATGCCTGGCACTGATCACACTTGTGACGACAAGAATTCTCCCAGAGGCGAGAACCACAAGGGGTCCCCGATAATCAGCCGAGGTGTGAAAGCGCACAGTGCCTGCTTTTATAGGCCCTGCTTTCAACTGATTGGGCACCTGACACAAGCCCACCCATTACTTCGTCGGCAGCCTATGAGGTGACTGAGAACAGAAGCTCTGGCCAATCAGGGAGGCCGGACCTGAACTGGCCAATCAGGTTTCTCTCAGTCGGCTTTTGAATACAGAGCAGGAGGGGAGCCTCTGGGAGCAGGTGCCGCGTGAACAGGGACAGGAGGGGCCGAAAGGCTAGAGGGAAGTTAGCAGAGGGTGTCTGGGCTCCTAGTACGGATGCGCCTGCTCCACAGGGGACTGCTGCCTTCACTCAGGATTCCTATTGCTTTTATGTCCAAAATAAACTCCCCCTTTCCTGAGGACGTCTGAATCTTGGATCCTTACCACCGAATAGCTTACCCGCCTGTGGAGAAACAGGCCTCCTGTCTTAATGCTGTGTGTTCTGGACCGTGAGTCATCTCAGTCCTGAGGAGAGCACCAGTCCCAAACTCAGTGCCTGCAGCTGTGCTGTGTGTCCTGGGGCAAACTAGGAAATCTCTCTGCGAGTGATTTTCCACTTTGCAAAATTCTACTAGAGGGTACATTTCTCAGGTCTTGATCATCGTGTGAGGTGTATAGATATATATATATATCTCACACACGTGTATATGTTTGTATATTTTAATGATCTGTGTGTATCATTATTGTTTACTTAGTATTTTTTTCTTTAAATCAGTTCAATTTTTGTTTCAATACTTTTATTTAAGGAAAAATCTTTATGTTGATTCTGTAAATGGAAAAACCAATATTCACTATAAATAAAAGGCAATAGCACAAAGTAAATACAGGGAAAAAAAAAAAAAAGATCTGAGTGGTTATAGTGCCTGAAACACGGTACAAGCTTGGCATCCCACGTAGGTTCAAATCTGGGTTCTGCCAGTTACTATTTGAGTGCTTCTGAGCAAGCCCCCATTTCATGAAAATTGGAAACAATAAACACCTACCTCCCGAGTCACTGCGTCATTATTATTTGCAAAATGTCACGCTGAGAGGATTGCGCATATTGTGCAATCCTCACAATGACCTTTTGTGTAAGTTGTATCAATTTCCGCCCCCCCTCCCCTTAGGAAATTATGGGTTATTTAGATGCTCCTAGAGTCTGTAGGCGGAGAAGGCAATGGCACCCCACTCCAGTACTCTTGCCTGGAAAATCCCATGGACGGAGGAGCCTGGTGGGCTGCAGTCCATGGGGTCGCTAACATAGTACGGATGCGCCTGCTCCACAGGGGACTGCTGCCTTCACTCAGGATTCCTATTGCTTTTATGTCCAAAATAAACTCCCCCTTTCCTGAGGACGTCTGAATCTTGGATCCTTACCACCGAATAGCTTACCCGCCTGTGGAGAAACAGGCCTCCTGTCTTAATGCTGTGTGTTCTGGACCGTGAGGCATCTCAGTCCTGAGGAGAGCACCAGTCCCAAACTCAGTGCCTGCAGCTGTGCTGTGTGTCCTGGGGCAAACTAGGAAATCTCTCTGCGAGTGATTTTCCACTTTGCAAAATTCTACTAGAGGGTACATTTCTCAGGTCTTGATCATCGTGTGAGGTGTATATATATATATATATATCTCACACACGTGTATATGTTTGTATATTTTAATGATCTGTGTGTATCATTATTGTTTACTTAGTGTTTTTTTCTTTAAATCAGTTCAATTTTTGTTTCAATACTTTTATTTAAGGAAAAATCTTTATGTTGATCCTGTAAATGGAAAAAACAACATTCACTATAAATAAAAGGCAATAGCACAAAGTAAATACAGTAAAACAGAATGCTTCAATTTATTACCTGCTGAAAATCTGCTCTCTTATTTTAAAAGGGAGATAAGCAAGTGTTGGGAAGCTGATGAAGGCATATGAAAACCAGAGACTTCTTTCTTGAGAAAATGCTGAAGGATTATAAATGGAATGTCTTTTTCACAAAAAGGAATCAGATTTATCTTATTCTGTGTCCAGGCACCATTTGACATGGTCTTATGGGAAAATATTGCACTTGATTATGTAAGTGAAAATTGCTCAGTTGTGTCCAACTCTTTGCAACCCCAGGGACTGTAGTCCATGGAATTCTCCAGTCCATAATACTGGAGTGGGTAACTGTTCTCTTCTCCAGGGGATCTTCCAACCCAGCGATCGAACCCAGATCTCCTGAACTGCAGGCGGATTCTGTACCAGCTGAGCCACTAGGGAAGCCCCACTTGATTATACATATATATATATTCAAATTATATGTTTAATCAAATATATAACCAAACATGTATAATCATATATATATAATTTTAAATTTATATGTAACAATAATTTTATTTATGTTTAAAATATAAGTTTATTTTTTTCAGTGTCCTTGATTCTGAAAAGTTGGCCCAGATCATGAGTAGTAATGTCTGGCATTCATTAAGCTGCACTCAGGGCAGACACTGCTGATCAATCATATCAATAGTACTGTTGCTTGGCAGACACTGCTAGCTGACCACAGCCCTCCTTTCTCTGGTGCTTGGACGCAGTCTTATATTCTGTGGGCAGGTCCCAATTGATCATAGCTGGCACCTGGTGGTAGCTCTAGACCAGATAACCCCTCAGGTTTCTTCCACAACAGAAGTTATTGCTCCCGACTCCGATTTTCTTGGCAGGTAAAACTGAGGCTGAGATGATGGAGAGAGGAAAGCTGAGAAGGGCTTATGAGCAGGCACATCCAGGGAACCCAGCTGTCCCTACCCAGTCTGACAGGAGACCTGAGCTGACAGTGAGCAGAGTAGGGAGTCACCTTATACCAAGTAGAGATGGACTGATGGGCTGGAAGCCACAGTGTGACATGTTTAATGTGCAGTAGGGTATGGGTCTTGGGAGATGGGGTAAGGAGGAGGCAACTGGCAGGGGCAGAAGAGATGAAGGAAAGACAAGCTTGCTTGGGTCAGACTGTAGGAGAGAGGAGAGGCACCAGCTGGGGACCAGGCAGCCTAGGGTCTCAAAGAAGTGTCAGGTGCGGAGCAGTAAGTAGGAGGCAGCCAGGGCTGATTGGGGAATAAAAGAACAGAGAGGAGAGGTGAGAAGGGCCTTCCAGCCCCTCAGGTCTTCAATGTCTTGAGCTGTATTTATTCCTTCACCTCCCCAATCCCCCAATATCTCTGCTCTCCCCCGACCTACCAATTCCCACTCCAAGCAACTTCCACTGTCCACAGTTATCAAGCATATTACTGTGGAAACAGTTCATGGCTAGGATGAATCACTTACCACTGTCCTCAGACTTACTGACATCCTGAGTGAGTGAGTGAGTGAAGTTGCTCAGTCATGTCCAACACTTTGCGACCCCATGGACTATAGCCCACCAGGCTCCTCCATCCATGGAATTTTCTAGGCAAGCGTACTGTGGTGGATTGCCATTTCCTTCTCCAATTGACATCCTAGATAACTTTAAAAAAATGATCAAGAAGCACCTTTAAAAGTGGGAAGGCAGCTAATATTTTACGTTCCAGACACAGTGCCAGACATTTTCCAAGCAGCATTTCATCACCTGAAAAGAACTTTGTGAGGCAGGTGTCATGCTCCACATTTTGCTGGTTAGGAAACCGAGGCTCATGGAGGTTAAGAAATGCAGCTGATTGTTGTTGGATCCAGGATTCAAACTCAGTGCATTTGGTGCCAGAGATTTTGACCCTTTTGCATATACAAGGCTGCATAAGGGACAATTATATTAATGGGAAAAAACAAGCAAAATTCCATTCTAAGCTTCCTGGTTGTTGTTGTTGTTCAGTCACTCAGTCATGTCCGACTCTTCGTGAACCCATGGACTGCAGCACACCAGGCTTCCCTGTCCTTCACCATCTCCTGGA